GATCACGTTGCAACGAGCTCCTTGCCACTGGCGGGGGGGCGCGCCATCCGCGTTCGCGCGCCGGGCGCGCGTCGGCGCGCTCTCCGCAATCTCCGCGGACTTTCATCGCGGCGCAGCATGCTGAGGTTGGCCCCAGGACAGGATGGGGGCAAGACGCTGACGACCGAGATTGTGAGCGGGCTGCAGGCGAAGACAGACTGCGATCTTCTCGCGCCCAGTACTCGGACCGCGCCGAAGCATTTCATGGCCCCGGGGGAAGCTGAACCGCCGCAGGAACGCGATCAGAGCGCTCGGACCTGTCGCGGGGCATCAAATCCGACGGTAAGGGATTGCTCCCTCTAAATAGTCTACAATCTCCGATGCGGCGGCAGACCAATCAGTTGTGTCATGGCGGGCGACGCCGAGCGCAATGTTCGCGATGGCGGCGCGGTGTGTGGCGTCGATTCGCGGGGTCTTGTTGCTGCAGAAGAGAGAGTCAGACTTGCTTCGAAAAGAAATATCGTCTGGGAGAGCAGGGGTCGAACCGCCCACCACCTGTCGCGCTGCGCCAGGCTCGGGGGGAATTCCGCTCGCCGGCAATGCGCGAGGAGGCCTCTGCCAGGCTCGGGTAGGGGCGTCAGAATACGCGCCAATACTCCACGCGCAGCACGATGATTGCCCAGAATAGGATCCAGGTGCGCGTTCGCCGAGACCGGCGGCCCCTCCCCGTGGAGCTGAAGGGCCAGCGCCCGTCCGGGAGCAACCGCCGAGGCCCGCGCCTCAAGGAACTGCCCCGAGAAGGCTGCGGAGACAGATGCGAGCGCGCTACCTGCGCCATGAGAACCACGAGAGGAACAGAGAAATAATGCGTGGGGAGGTCACGTCTAAGAGGCACTATGTCAGCTAGCGAGCCATGCTTCTCCTGCGCATGCACTAGATGGCGTCGCTCTAGAAGAGACGTGCACTTGCGACGCTTGTGACGTTGGCGCGGATGATTCGGCGAGTTCCACGTTGCCCAGCGACGCTTGTTTTTATTGGGGCCTGTGAGTCCCACGTTGCCTCCAGAAGCTTTTGCCAGCAACCGGAGAAACGCCCGTGAATTCCAACTCGGCGCGCGGGGCAACGGCGAGTTGGCCTCTCTAGCTCTTCGCCGTGAGAAGGGGGGGGGGGGGGGGGGGCGGCGGCGAAGAGGGGGGGCGGGCGCGGCGACAGGCGGCGGCGCTGGCACCGGTGGCGACGCAGCTGCCAGCGCAGACGGCCGCGGCCCCGTGGAACTCGATCCATCTGGCGCGCTGGCGCCGAGGGCTGACGCTGAAGGCGCGTGGGCCCAGCTCGGCAAACGCGCGTCGGCAGACTGGGTTGGGGGCGCGGCGGCGCGTGCGTCGAGGTCGCCTGCGCCTGCCCAGTTGCGCCCCTAATGGGGGCGCCAGCGTGTCAACCGCTGTGGTGTTGATGGGGGCGGTGGAGCCAGTGGGGCCGCTGGGGCTGCCGGCGCTGTCGGCGCCCCTGTAGCCGGCGCGGCTGGTGGTGGCCCCCCCGCTGCTGCGCGACGGCCCGGCGGCGCAGTCGCAGTGGCCGTCGGCGCTGCAAAGGCTTTCGCGCGGCCCGCGAGGTCGGCCATCTAGTCGCCGTAATTCGGCTTCGTGTGGCGAAGGCGAAGATGGCGACGATGCCCCTATCCAAGTTGACGAACGGCTGTGGCCAATCGGTTGCCGCCTGCCGTCCGAGGAAGAACGCGGAATAGCCGCGGGCGCTGTCGGCCGCGGCGCGGGCGCTGCTGGACTTGGCTGTCCGCCGTTCCAAGGGTCGGCGCTCCGCAATGGGTCGCCGTTCCCGGTGCCCTCGGCGACTCGCCGTGGAGTCCCAGAGGCGCCCCTGGTCATTCAGACAGCGCGCGCTCGCGGCGCGGGCCGCTGCTCGGTCGGTCGCGGCGGCCCTTGCTGTCCCGGAAGAGCAAGTGGTGATGGCGATGGTGGTGCTGATGGCGGCGCAGGGGCGTGCGCGTCGAGCATGCGAGCGCGCCCTTGTTGGCGGCGCTGGGGGCGGTCGCGCGCGAGGTGCCCCTCGGGGTCGCGCTCGCGGCGTTCGAGGCGCATCCCACAAGGGCCATAGGGTTGCCTTGGCGGCCCGAACCCATGCCCGCGGTCCTGAACCCCCCCCCCCCCCCCCTCCCCGATCTACCTGCGCGCTTCCCGGGGCCCGCGGAGGTCTCCCCGAGGTCGGTCCAGGGCAGGGTGGCCGCGATAGCGCAATAGATTTTGCCCTCGCCCGTGCCCTTGGCCCTCCGAACGTGGCGCGTGGGCTTGTGGTTGTTGAAGCTGCTCCAGCGTGCTTTGGCGCGCTCGTGGGCCCAGGAGAGGTGCGCGCCGCGGTGTTCCACGGGGGTGTCGCGTAGCTCGGGGTTGTCGGCGGCTATCTCCTCGCCGCGCGAGCTGGCGGCGCCTGCGTCGATCTCTGCCGCCGGGTGGGCCCCCTGCGCCGGCGGTGCCGCGCTAGAGGCGCAACCTCCAGACGCGGCGCCAGCAGGCGCCGCCGGACTCGGTGCCGACCCCGGCGCGGCAAGACCCATGCCGCCCCAGCTCCGCCTCCGCGCGCGCGCCCAGGGGGCGGGCGCCGTTGGGCAGAATGGGCCCCCGAGGCGAGGTTGCCTGGCGATCGCTCTATCACGAGCCCAAAGCGTCTCAGCTGGCTCGTCATGCGGGCGAGCTGCAGGGCGCTCGTGGGGCAAGCCATGCTGCGGCGCTGTAGGGGCATGGAGAATTGAATGTTCGACGCGCCCGCGGCGTGCGGCAGGAGGAAACTAGGCCCTTCGCCGCCGTTCGCGCGTTGACCAGCTTGCTGCGCCCGCTTGCGGAAGCCGTCGAAACTCGTTAGCAGGTTGTCGACGCGCTCCTGCGGCAACCGGCCGAAGTCCATCAGAGCCGACATTGCCGCGGCGCGCCCCCTCGCGCGGCTGGCCCCATCTGCCGGCCAGGCCGTGCATGGGGAAGGTCATCGGTGGCGCTGGTTGGCCTGTGGACAGCTGGACCGCTCGGCACAGCTGGCGGCCGTTCGTCCGCGTGCTCGCTCGCCACGCCTGCGAGGCGCGACGAGACGTAGACCGCCTAGCGTAACTCTCTGAGGTCTGAGTTCGCCACAGACCAGGTCATCACCTCGCGCGCCTATTTCTGGAAAGGCACGCGAGCCCGGTACTCGGGCGGCTCGGTGCTGAGGTGGCGCATGTTGCCGCTGCCTCCGCCTGCGTCCGTGCAGGCGATGCTGCATGCGATGGCGAGCGCGCAGATTCCGATGGCCATCCACCCGGAGTCTAGCTCCCTCCGCATGTCGCAATGGTGCCGGAGTCCGGGGATCCTCGAGCGGCGTCGCGTGAGTCGCCGAGAATACTTGCTTTCGATGTCGGCGTATTGGACGTCTGCTTTTGTCGTGTCATTGGAAAGCTCGCGGCGCTCAGAAGATCTTGCGGTGCCGTCGCGGGAATGCTCTTCGTACGTCGTGTGGTCACTGCAAAAATACGCGTCGGGATCTCGTCCTGCCTGGCTGGCGGTCTGACTAGTTGAAGGGGAGGGTCGGGTCCTGAGGTGTGGTGCCTCGAAGTGATGGCGTCCCACTCGTCATGCCCTCCGCCGCAATATCCTGGGGGGTGAGAGCGCACTCCCCATGCTCCCCACTGCGCCCCCGCTCGGAGCCAGCGACGCAATCGCCGGATGCCTCTTCTCCGCTTGCTTCTCCCAGGCTCCTCAAGGCACACTCCCAGGACGCTCGTGACCTTGTTGTGACGCCGCATATGTCAACGTTGTGTCGAGTAACTCTCTACCACCAACACCTGAGAATACCCCTGCGGGCGGTGGCACTGACAAATTGGGGCCCACGAGCTGCCTGGATACAGTCTGGGCATGTTTAGGATGGGCCGCAACATGGTCCTTCTAGGTCTTGGTGGTGGTGGTGTCCTTGATGAAACACTGGCTGTGCGCGCTCCTGGTCGCGGGTCCTGGCGGCTGGGCTGGTACAGCCCCAACGGACCCTAGAGTGACCTTTCCTGCCAAAGGAAAGGGGATCACTGCACGAAGGCGGAAATGCTGGAGGCGGTTGACCGACGTGGAAGGCGGCGTAAGGTGGAAACCGTTGCGGTCGACGCGAAGCGACACATGGCGGCCGTGGTGGGGGCAGAGATGAGCCTGCTCCTCTACCAACTAAAAACGAGGATGTAAAAAAATGAAAAAAAATGAAAAAAAAAAAAACAAAAAAAAAAAAAAAAAAAAAAAAAAAAAAATAAAAAAATAAAAAAAAAAAAAGAAAAGAAAAAAAAAAAAAGAAAGAAAAAAACAAAAAAAAAAAAAATAAAAAAAGAAAAAAAAATAAAAAAAAATAAATAAAATAAAAAAAAAAAAAAAAAAAAAAAAAGGAAAAAAAAAACAAAAAAAAAAACAAAAAAAATAAAAAAAAAAAAGAAAAAAAAAAGAAAAAAAAAATAAAAAAAATAAACAAAAAAAAAAAAACATAAAAAACTAAAAAAAAAAAAAATAAAAAAAAAAAAAAATTAAAAAAATAAAAAGCAAAGGGGGGCGTATGCACACACCGCGAATAAGTCGGACACGGGAGAAGTGTAGGCTCCCGAACCCAAGTGCCAAAAAGGCACCAGACAGGCTGGGTGAGAAACGGCACGGCAGTAGGAAGGGGGACGAGCCTACCGTTCGAGGGGGAAAAAAGAGAGGAGGAGAGGAGAGGAGATAAGGAAAAGGAGGAGGCCGAGGAGGAAGAGGAGGACGAGGACGAGGAGGACAGGAAGGAGGAGGAGGGGGAGGGGAGGAAGGAGGGTAGGAGTGAGGAGGAGGAGGACGAGGACGAGGAGGAGGAGGAGGAGGAGGAGGAGGAGGAGGAGAAGCAGGAGGAGGCGCAGGAGGGAAAGGAGGAGGAGCAGGAGGAGGAGCAGGAGGAGGAGGAGGAGGAGGTGGAGGAGGAGGAGGAAAAGGGCGGAAAAGGGCAGACGCTCGCAGCGGTGGCGGGCGGTCGCCCAAACCCGCCTGCAACAACGCCGCGCTCGAGGCGAACACCTCGCGGGCTCCCGCCGCGGAAGGCCGCCGCCGCGGTGCCGCCGCCGCTGCCCTCGCAGGCCTGAGCTGGATCGAATCGCGAAGTCGGGTCGAATCGGAATCGGATCGGATCGCCAACGGATCGTCCCGAATCGCAGCTCGACTACACGCAAGAGTGACCCTGTCGGAGAGTGACCTTTGGTACGCGGCCTATCGGGGGACGCGGGGGGCCCAAACACAAGCGCGCAAGACGCCGCTGCCGCCTCGCGTTCGGCGACGGGGAGACCCCAATGAGCCCGCATCAAAGGTCTCTCTGGCTAAGGGTCACTCTTACGTGTGGCTGGGCAGCGGAATCTGGTCGCCGTGCCCGGCTGGCACCTGCCACTGCCAGCGAACTGAACCGAACCGAATCAAATCGGAATCGGATCGTATCGAATCGGCCCTGCCCTCGTCGTCGCCGCCGCTGTCGCAATTGCCGTCGTGCTCACCATCCTCCGCCCTCCATGACTATCGATGGTCTTCTTATGTCAGTACCGAAAGGATCGCTGGAGTCTTACCATGCTTGTGTGAGTCTTGCGCAGAAAGGAGCCTTCGATTCACCCCTCACCTCACCCACGCGCGTGTCCCCCTCTAGCGGTACACAAAACGGCATATACATAAACTTTCGGAGCTCCGTGCGGACATCTTGGGTCCACGCTGGACTTCCCCGCCCTGGCGCGCGGAGCGCGCCAGGAGCAGTGTCGGAGGCGCTGCCAGGAGGCTCCAGCGCCGATCCAAGAAATCCGCGCAGAGCCCCAAAAGTCGATGTGCATGCAATTCATTTTTCTTCGACCTCTACTCCTCGCTCCTCCCTTCCTCTCACTCCTCTCCATTCCCCCCCACTCTTCCGTGCTCCTCCCGCTCCTCCCCACCCACCACTCCACTCACCTGCAGCTCGCCCCCCCCCCCTTCGCCTCCCCCCTCCTCCTCCCTCCTCACCCCTCCTGGCGGAGAGCGCCATCGAAAGCTGGCTCGCCCTTGCGATGCGGCGGTCCTGTGCCTTCTCTTCCCGCTGTCGCCTGTCGCTTGCCGCCTCTCCTGTGGCACTTTTCTCGCCCCCTGCGGTGGGGATCCTCCGTTTTCACTCCGTCGGCGTGGACACGCAGCACTGTCAACCTGCTCTTCCTCCTCCACCCTCCCCCTCCCCCTCCCCCTACCCTCCCCCTCCTCCTCCTCCCCCTCCCCTCCCCCTTCTCCTCCCTCCTCCTCCTCCTCCTCCTCCTCCTCCTCCTCCTCCTCCTCCTCCTCCTCCTCCTCCTCCTCCTCCTCTTCCGCCGGCGACCCCTGCTCCTCCTCCTTCCTCCTCCTCCTTCTCCTGCTAGTCCTCTTCACCCTTCCTCCTCCTCCTGCTCCTCCTGTTCCCCTTGTTCCTCCTCCTCCTCCCCCTCTTTCTCCTCTTCCTCCTCTTCCTCCTCCTCCCTGCTCCTCCATGCTCCTCCTCCGCCAGCGACCACGACACGGCTGCCGCCGCCGCGGCATCCGCCGATGCCGAGCCCGACGACCCCAACGACGCCACTGACGGGCCTTGGGGCAACAAGCAGTGGGGTGAAGCGAGGTGCACCTGTCGTGCACCTTCGGAGGCACCAGGGGACCCTTCCGGCGCACCTTTCCTGCAGCCCTCCGACGTCGTGTGCTTTTTGACTACGTGGGCCCCTGGAAGTCTGGACCCCTGAAGTTTGGGCCCCTTCCCTGGGACAAATGTTTCATCCCGACTCGTTTTTGGGACGGTTCCAGGTACTCGGAAGGGCCCACTCGGAAAGGCCCTCAGGGGCAGCCAAATTGGCACAAGCTTCCGTTGTGTGTTTGTGCTTGTTCACAACGCGATGAGGTCTGGATCCCCCTCCATTGACAGAAGCCTCCCAGATGGGGTCAGGAGTAGATGGGGTCGGTGGATCGCGCATCGATGCATCGGCGATGTGCCTGCAACGTCGGTGACGCATCGGAGCCGTCGGCGTGGAGAACATCGGGCTCCACATCGCCGATGTATCGGCGATGCGGCGGAATCCTCCGCTCCCATTTACTCCGTCCCCGTCTGGCAGGCCTGGACAGACTCCCCCTGTCGTTGCCTCTTGGGTTTCGGGTCAGAACTCGGCTCTCCGTCGGCCATTCGCTACGATCTGGGCACCCCCAGAACGCTCTCGGCGAGGCGCAGCTGATGGAAGCACTCCGAAGCAAGACCCTCCACCACAGCCGACGAAAACGCCCGATAACCCTGCTTAGGAGGCATGGGTTCCATCAAGACCCGTCTCCTCTGTGAGGCCAAGAATTGATCGGCCCCTTATTACCGTCAGATCTGACGTTGCAGAAACAACACCGCAAGAAATCATCACTGGATTGCAACATCGCAAACAACACCACTGGATCCCCGGACACTCTCTTTCTGCGTCACTGTTTGAGCCCGATCGATCCGTGGGGGAATCACCACTGGAGCCCCGCAACCCATCTTACTGCGTCATTTCCCGAGCCAGATCGATCCGTGAGGGTCCCAGGGCCCGACACGGGGCGGACATTAGAGGCTTCCTAGATGAGTCAAAGGATCGCGCTGCATCGCCGGCGTGGGAAACACGGGCTCCACATCGAGCCGCATAGTCGATGCATCGGCGATGCGGCAAGATCCTCCGACCCCACCTACTCGGACCCTATCTAGGAGGCCTAGAGGCAGGCTCGCCGTGAAAAATTGCAACGCCAAGATTGCAAAGCGCGTGCGCGCAAACAAGCCAGGAGGCGCAGCCGCCTGCACGCTCCTGTCCGGGACCGTCTGCAGGAGCACCGCCTGGCCCACCCCCAAGCGGGGGGGAAGGAAGATGAGGCTGCTCGTCGTCTTTTCTCCTCCTCCTCCTCCCTCCCTCCTCCCTCCCTCCCTCCCTCCCTCCTCAGTCCTCCCCCCTCCCTCCTACCTCCTCCCTCCTCCATCCTACCTCCTCCCTCCTCCTCATGCTCCTCCTCATGCTCCTCCTCCTCCTCCTCCTCCGCCTCCTCCGCCTCCTCCCTCCTCCTCCCTCCCCCCTCCTCCCTACTCCTCGCCCTCGTCGTCCTGCTGCTGCTGCTGCTACTCCTCCTCCTCCTCCTCCTCCTCCTCCTCCTCCTCCTCCTCCTCCTCCTCATCCTCC